TCTTGTGGGGGGGGGGGTCTTTTTACACTAACTGCCTAGTCAATTCCTACCTCCTATTCTTATTACACCATCCTCTGAAGAGGTTACCCAGCTTGCGGATAGGGAATCAGGATGCAGACTGCTCTGGCTTCTTCCTTGCTGAAGAGGGACACAAGGTGAGGCAGTTGGGGTACCGCTTCAGTGGGTCTATCTAAAAGACTCCCAAATTGCATAACTCTTATCACCAGGTCGAGGCAGGATCCGGGCACTCTCAGGCAGACCCCTGTGTTCTCAGCCAAATCAAACAATTTTTAAAACGATATGTTCATGCCTCTGAATCCCATTCCACAACCATAGTGAACAAATTACCACTACCCTGACAACATGACGAAATCTCAAAACATAGTATGAGAAAGTTCCTCCTTGCAAACACACACATTATACACAATAAGATTCCACTGTTTACAAAAGACAAAAATAATACAGGCAAAGCTAAACTGTAGCCTGTGGTGACATCAGCTTAGGAGGAAAACTATAAAGAGAAACTATCATGGAGCACAATGTGTGCACCCACATGAGTGTGTCTATGTGGGAGTGCAGCTCCTGCTTCCCCATCAACAATTTCTCACCATGAGTCTCCCTGAGGAACCTGGGCTCAAAGCTCACAGGTGTGAGAAGTCACATGGTTTCTTGGGAATGTCCTCATTCAGGCATGTTTCAAGGAGCGATTGATCTAGAGACATCTGTGTTTTCATGTTAGCATTTCTGTCACAGCCACAAAGAAACAGGGGTGAATAGAAGCCAGCAGTCCATGCTCGTAAAATGAGCCTATGGTCCCTGGAAACCAAAATTAAAATGAAAGGGGATCTGCGAAGTATAATAAGGTGTCAATAAAAATTTTCAGGAATAAGAACATTACAGTAAGACCAAATTATAGACAAAACTAGATGCCTACAATGAACCTGAGCAAGAGATGTTAGGTTCTGACTAGAGAAGAATGCTTTTATGAATTTTTTTAAATGATTGATAATGGGTATCAAAGCTACTTTGGAATTTAGCTTCTCAGATATATTTACAAGCTTGACTAACAGCTTTATTTCAGGATGTCAATATTTACACTACACCAGAAATTTTATTTTTTGCATTTGCATTTTTATTTTTTAAATCAATGTCAGCTTCAAAATGTACAAATGGTTTGACAGCTTGTCAAAATCCTTATTAGAAAAATTAGCACCAAGGCTCTGGAACCCCCATTCCACCTGCCTCCACGACAAGCTGGTCAAGCTGAGGGCTGACCACACATGTTAAGAATATCCCTCATGCAGTAGGGAAATGGGGTTAGAGGATAAGACAGATCCTGATAAATCTGAATATGGCCATTGTGGAGCAAGATCTCAGGAGAAAGGGTCTGGGCCCTTGAACCTGATAGAGGGACTAGGTCAGGAGAAGGCCAGGGGAGGCAGCCCCAGGCAGGGAGGGCAGCTCAGGCTAAGAACAGCAGTGGACAGCAATCTCCCTGAAGAGGAGAGAAGCTTGCAGGAAAGAGTGGTAGGATGTATAGACAACAAGTAGACCACCAGAGAAAGGACAAAGTCAGCTGTCAGGAAGCCAGAGTGTACCAAGTCATGCCTTGGACCAGGGACCTCATGGTATAGCTGTCACTTTTGTAAAGTTATAACTCCCTGGAGACACTTTAGGAGAAAGGTGCTAGGCATACTGTATGGGCAGGGAGAGACAAAGGGAGGCCGGAGCTAAGAGGCCATTCCAGTAGCCTATTCTTGGGGAGGACATTCAGAGGCCTCTTGGACATCCAAATACCCTCTGTGCTGCTTATCACTCCACTCTCTGAAGTGCCCATTATGATGTGCTCTGATCTCTGGCATCATGCCCTCATCCAAAGTGAGTGAACACTTAAAACAGCATACAGGTTAAGAGGAGTACAGGCTAGGAGAGAGGGAAGGTGGATGACAAGCCTCAAGGCTCCGGCAGAGGAAAGCAGTAGCGCCCCAGCCCAGGGCTGGGCTCAGCTCAGTTGTCAAGGCTCCCAGCACAGAATGAGCTGGAGTCCAGAGGCTAGCACAGGGTCTTCTTGCCACATCTGCCCTCCATCTGACCCCCAAATAATGCCTAGAGACTGAGCAGGGATGGCTCACCAGCACCACACACCTGTGAGATATCTCTTTTCCAACTCAGGTTTCCAGCACCCTCTATCCCCTAACCTGGCTCCAAACTCCTGAGTAGGCCAGTGATGAAGAGGCTGTGCATGACTGACTTGAGTGGGCCTTAGAACCAGAGTTTTTTGTTTTGAGACACGATCTCATAATATTGCCCAGGCTGGTATCAAACGCCTAGGTTCAAATAAGCCTCCAACCTCAGCCTTCTGAGCATACAGAACTAAGGTGTATACCAACAGCGCTTGGGATCAGGGTTTGAACAAAGCTAAGCTGCCTGTGGAGGCCCAGTTACCCTCCCAGCCCTGGCATACTACAGCCTGCTCTTGCAGGCCCCTGTTCTCCAGCCCCTAATCCCTGCAGGTAGAACTGGGAGCCAAAGCATAACCTCAAGAGCAGGCTGTTGAGAATTAGTGCCCTGCCTACACGGTGCCCCTGGACTTTGAGGGACCAGTCACAAGCTCAGCCTCCTTCACCCAAGAAGCACATATTAAAGTGCCTACTGTGAGGGTGACTAGGCTAGGCTCTATGAATAGGGCCAGCATCATATGGAGCCAGCCTGACCCTGCAAAGTCCTCATAGGGGAACTCTGACCCACAGTTATGCTCTCTAAGGCTAGGAAGACCATCAGAAACCGATCCACTCTCCTGTGCCTGCCCTTTGCCTTGGCCTTGGGGGAGCCATGTAGCCCTTTGCTGTGCTTGAGGAGAAACACCTGATTCTACCCATCACAGGGCCCAGCGAAGAGAAAGGATCCAAGATCTGAGGAACCCAGACCCTGACCACTAGCGGAAACTGCGGCAGTCCGGTGCCGGGCGGGGCGGGGGCGGGGTGGCGAAAGTCCGCGGGTCCCAGGGCTGTCTCGGTGGGCTCGGCCCCGCCACCTTCTGTGTGTCCAGGTGGGCACAGACCCCGGGGCGGCCGCTGCCCGAAGTGGCTCCGCCCCGGACCATCACCGGCGGCGCAGGCAGACACAGGGTGCAGCCTGGAGGCCGACGTCGTTGAAGACACTGTCAGAACCCAAAGGCGGCCCCCGCCCCGCCGGTGACCACAGCCCCCGGGGCGCCACCCCTGGCCCCGCCCCAGGCGTCCCCCGCGCCGCCTCTCGGCGACACTGCGGCAGGCGGCGGGCGCGTTGCCATGGCGGCCGGGCGCGCGTAGCCGGCGGTGCCCAGCTCACCCGGCAAGGCGCAGAGGCGGCGACCGGCCGGGGAGGGGACCTGCCGCAGAGACGACCGATCCGGGAGGGGATCCGAGCCAGAGGAGACCCACCAGGGAGAGGACCCTCAGCCGGAGCGTAGACCCGGGCCGGAGCTCCAGCCTGCGCGCAGGCCCGGCCGAGCGCCAGGATGCAGGCCGTGGACCCAGCCTCTCGGGGCTTCTACGAGGAGGATGGCAAGGACCTGGACTTCTACGACTTCGAGCCGCTCCCCACCCTGCCGGAGGATGAGGTGAGCCCGGCCCAGAACCCTATCTGCCCTGGAAGAGGGGTCGGGGAGGAGGAGCGGGGAGAACACAGCGATTCCGTTGCGCAGACCCTGGCCCCGCAGGTGTAGCAGAAGATGCTGCTAGGGGTCCCAGTCCTGAGCCCCATCCCGTCATAGGACACCTAGAACGATATATGAGACAACAGTGGGGCTGTTAATGCGAAAAAAAGTTGTCTGCTTAGAGGGGTGGGGTACTACTGGTTGTAACCCTTGGACAAACGAGTGGGGGGGTGGTCCTGACGGGCAGGGACAATGGTGGCACTGTTGACCTCCTCGGAGTCGACCAGGTTGAGGATTCGGGATAAGACCCCCTCCCAGAAGGACTGAGCGTGCTTCCTGCCCCGGGGACCCTCTCCCTAGCCCCTGAGAGCTTCTGGTCTAGAACTGACTGTGTCACACAGAACCCCTCCTGAGTGAAGAAACTGGGTCCCACCCACGTTTCCAGGCTCCCAGGCTGGGGCTGGGGTCATGCACAAACTCCATAGCTTGCAAAAGCATGAGAAATTGTCCCCAGAAGTGCTCCCAGGGGTACCTTGTCCTCCCTCAAGAATATGGATCTTTAGGGGCTATTCTTCCAAGCCAGGCTCTGGAATCTCTGTGGAGAAATTCAACATTCTCTAACTTCCTGGGGACACCGGTGGTACAGACCCTCCACCAGCCCTTTGGGGCCAGCCTGGCCAGCTGGTGAATGAAAGCTGACCAGAGCCCTCCTGAAATATAAGCCTGGGGTCTGCAGCACCTAGCCGTGACCCCACACACAGCCCCCACCCTGCCGCTCCCCTTTCCTGATGGAGTGGACTCTGAAGGGATAGGAATTCATTGCTGCTGCCTCCCAGATCTCCAGGGGCCCCTGGGCAGTGCGGGGGTTGGTGTTGCCCCCACCCTGAGGTGGCCTGGATTTGGTACAATTGAAGGCTGCAGAAAAGAGAGGCCAGGGAATAAATAAACCTTTGGACAGTTCCCTGGCTTTGATGGAAAAGAAGGGTGCTTTCAGCGCACAGCTGTCACAAACTCCCAGAGGACAGGACACACTCAGGGGGTCTATGAGAAGCCTCTGCTTTTGGTTACCACCAGAAGCAGATCTGAGAACCTCTGCACCTTTTCATATCAGCCACTGAGCTTCACCGTTGCTCTGTGCCTGGCATCTAAAGCAATGGTTACCACCACATTGATAGCACCTGGTACACAGGTTGAAGCTAAGCTTCGCACCCAGAAAGCAATCTGTCCATCATGCCCTGATGGACAGATACCTTCTGTAGGAGGAATGTCCTCAGCATCTTCTAGGTTGGAGCAATTTCCATATGCACAGTACATGGGGTATCTATCCTGGCAAGGTGTTTGGGTAAACTGCAGTATCCCTATTTCAGTGGTGTTCAGTGGGAAGTGCAGGTGGGTCCTTCACCTGGGGAAAGATGCTGCCTTTGATCCTATAAACAGCAGGGGGCTGGCAATGGAGCGCAGCTGAGGAGTGCTTATCTTGCATGCAAAAACCCTTGGGTTCGATCCCCAGTATCACAAGAAAACTGAAAAACAACAAGAAACTCCTTGTCTAAAATAGGAGTAGGGTCCTCAGGGCCTGGGCTTGGGCCAATAGTACCTTGTATCTGGGAACACACCAGAGTTCTACGTTTTATCCTTCCTGAACATTGTCAGCTCAGTCCCAGTTTAAAGAGTTTAAATTCATATACATCAAAATCATATGACTCTGTACCTGTCACAGCCTTGTATAGCAAGCTGCATCTGAAAGTTGTCCAGAGTAGGGTAGGGAAGATCTAGGCTGCCACCCATCCTAATGTTCAGTGCTGGAGAAGCCCTCAGAGTCAGCATAGCGTAGGCAGCTCCCATGCAGGCATGGTGAGGCTGGACCCAGGATGCATATTAATCTCATGGGACCTAAGAATTAACTCCACTACCACCAAAAAATGGAGCTCTACAGAGCCTCCAGGGGCCCCTAGAATGTCTCCACCCCATTGTTACCCAAAGAAAATTGAAACTGCTGGGGAACGTACAAAAGCTGTCTGACCCCCTGATAATCAGAACAGTGCTAAACATGTCCACTGAAGGCCTTACCATGACTGTGAGAACTGGCACACTGGATAGTAGTGCTTGAACAACCCTCAGGCTCCAGAAACACTCCCTCACTGCCATGGGAGTGGGGATAGCCTGTCAGAAAGCAGTCTGGCATTCTCTCCTGATGCAGAGACCAGCACCTGTGTCCCAGCAATTTCTTTCTGGGATGGTCCCAGATATACATGGCACATGAGCAGGCCATGTGCCTGTAAGAACCACTAGAAACCCAAAACTCTCAGTGAGTAGACCAGCATGCCCCACTAGGTCTGGGAGGTTGAAGCCATGCTTGGTTCCTGGTCACCTGTACTGGCACAGCCAGAGGACCCTGGGTACATAGTAGAGATGCTCTTTCTGGAAGCTGTGAAAGGCAGGCTTTTTGGAGGAAGTATTCTTCCCTGGATTCACATGTAACTTCAGCCTGTCTAGACATGGGAGGTAGTATCACAGGCAGTAGGGTGATATTGGATCTGAGAAGAACCAGAGCTGCAGGAGAGGCAGGCACCCACCAGGCAGCTGATCAAGAGGCAGGTGATGCCATTGGCCACCAAGGATTACTGATCAGTGTAGGTTTAGTGATGAGGACAGCACCATTGGGTATCAGCAGGGCATTTCCTCCCCTAAGAGGCAAGAGAGTTCTCATTGTCCCTAAGCCTACCAAGTGCCTCCCAGAACCTCCTGGGACAGGTGTTAGCTGGACTTGAGGACTAAAAATGAATAGGGACCCACAGCCAGGGAACTCCCATGAACAAAGACCTTTTTCCACTGTGCCTTTGGGATCCATATGCTATGCACCCAAACAGGCTCTGAGAAGAAGGCAGCCTAAGACCAAAAGAGAGCCATGAGCCAGTAGGGTAGGCATTTGGGGGCAGGTACAGCCCACAGAGCACCATGCAGAGCTCCTACACCCCTGCTGGGGTCTGGCTGCTCAGAAGCAGAGACTGCCAACAAATGCTGTCAGCATCAATTTGAGTTTTATGTTGTAAGGTTCTGTTTTGATATTCCATAGTTTAAAAATTAATTGGCTATGGGGCTGGAGAGATGGCTCAGCAGTTAAGAACACTGATTTTTCTTGCAGAAGACCCAGGTTCAAATCCCAGCACCCACATGGCAGCCAACAACTGTCTGTAACTCCAGTTCCAGGGGATCCGACAGCCTCTTCTGACCTCCACCGGCATTGCACAACACAGGTGCACTTACGTACATGCAGGCAATACACGCATACACATAAAACAAAAATAGTAAATAAAAAAAATTTTAATTAATTGGTTATAGATGTGCAATGATCACCTAGGGTCCCTATAACTAGCTCCAAGTCTAGGGAGAGGGGAGCTCTTTAATGCACAGAGTCCCTAAGCAGGATACTCTGCAGTAACTGGATAAAAGCCTGCCTTATGGAGCCCAGGGGTCAGCTAAAATGCTGCTCCCTGGAGCACAGCCCTCCCCAGGGTCTCATCCCTTCCATTCAAAATGGGATTGGGTTTTCACTTGCACTTTGCAAGCAGATGACTGATCTTCCTACCATGTAGGGAAATAATATGGGTGGTTCTCTACCCTTGATCCTACCCCACACCCTTAATCACCACCCTACTAAGGATGGTGAGGGACAGGCTGGATTATGAAGAACCTTCTCACCCACCAAGGACCTGGGTCTACACAGGGCAGATGAAGCCACAGAGTTCACTAGAGATCAGGCCTTGGTGGTAGGAGCTACAGGAGGATACAAGCCCTGGAGCTGCATGAGGCCTCAGAGTGCTTGGTTTAAGAATGCCATGCAGACCAACAACATTTATAAATGTTGGAACCAGCTTTACTGCTCACAGCAGGTCACCTCTGAAATGTCTTCTGGACCATTACGCATCCTGAGGCAAAAGTCAGAGGCCTATGGCAGGATGAACATATTTTATTTGGGACTGAGCCGTCTGGCAGAGAGAGTCTGCTGCTAAATCCCCAAGTAGTCTCTTGAAGAAGTCAGTGAAGACATATAGAATGGGCTCCTATTAATAGGGGAGGCCTAGGGGTCCACTGGAATTTGAGGGGGCATGGACTAAGGCTGGGCAGCTGGTGAGTGATACCTGATTGCCTCTCAGTCTCTCATCCCTGTCCCTGACCCTAGCCAAGTTTCTTCCCATGTGGCATAGATTTGAGCAAAAGACAGTCCTTCCTCCTGCCTGGCAGAATCAGAGCAGCTGAAGGCCCCAGAAGCAAGTAATCCCAGAGCCTAGAATTCAGTCCTGGGGTCCCTTGGCACTAGGTGAGGGGTCCCAACAGTGTCTACAGCTCTGTTTAAGCTGGCTCTACCCTGGGGATGTCAGGTGTTGGAGTGCTAATAATCCTGTCATTGGAGAAAGCCTTGGCCACAGCTAGCAGGAATGATTCAGGGCCCATGGGATTACCCCAAAGTCATGCTGAGAACCCTTGGCTTCTGTTTTCCCAAGTTACACACTCCCACCACAAACTGGCACTGGAGGTTACAGGTCTCCGACTGCTCTGAGATTGGACCAGGCTCCCCACTGTGAGGGGCATTTTCTCCACAGCCCTGAGTAGGAGGTAGTGCTGTGAGCTACAGGACAGCCCAGCGGCATCTGGCAGGGTTGCCTTATGCTGGAGGCACATCCTGTCACAGCTATAAGCAGGCAGGCCTGCTGGCCAGCATGAGCAGCAGCAGCAGGGTGTTGGCAGGCTCTGTCACAGGACTGGGACTGGGTTAGACTCACATTGTAGGCTGGTTTCATTTCTCCTACATGGCACAGCCCTATGGGGTCTGCAAAGTTATGTATTTTCTCACGTGTGTGTCTGTGTGGACTTTTGCGAATGCCCATGCATGTTGCCCCGTGTGTGTACATTGTGCAGGTTGGATGTATGCATATGTGTGTACATGTGTGTATGTATTCCTCTTTAGGTAGGTCCTGTGGGCATAGCTAGAAGCTTGGGATTCCTGAGTTCTGAGGTGTCCTGGGCACTACAGAGTGGTAACAAGTTTGAGGCCTGGCCAGAAAAATCTCATCAGTCACGGAGCTTCTGCCACAAAAGAAATAGGAGGTCTGGGGAAATGACCTCAGCAAGACCAACCTTGAACTCTGAGAATGAAATGAACTATGAATGGGGTTTCATGATGGGGCAGAACCCAGAGGCTCAGCCCAGCAGTTTGTGGGAAGTCTTGCTCTTGATTTCATTTGTCTGGCTATTGGATGGTTAACTGATTGGTTAGTTTAAGCCTCTGTCCTTTCTTTTCTTTGCTTTTCAATGCCAGTTGGAGGTGGAGACACTTTTTTGTTTAGTTTATATGATTTATTATTAAATATCTTTCCATTTCAACATATGCTCTTTTTTTGGAAATTTGAAAATGTATCTGTTTTGTGCATGGGACTAAAGTAAGATGATTTGATAAACAGTTACCAAGTCTCTGTTTTACACTCGCTACCAAAACCTTTATATAGTGGATCTATGTTATCAACAGTCATTTTATCAAAAAATGTTACTATATTCTTTTTTTGAGCTTTTTAATGTTTCATACATTTCCTACTCAAATCCAGACCCCCTCCCCCATCCATACCTCCTCCTGTCCCCCCACTGAACCCTATGCACTCTGCCATACATGCTGAGTCCTATTCATTCAGGTGTTTGTACCTAAATGCCCTTCACTTTTTAGAACCTGTCATTTGCCTGGACTTGAGCAACCGTTATCCTGGGGCCACAGCCAAAGCTGGAGAAGAAACCATGGCTCTGCCTCTTCTTCACCACCCCCTCACCCTACCCCCCAAGGGGTGTCCACATCCTTTGCCAACCCAACCTTCAGCCCAGTTCTCATAAAACCCTTCACCCACTCCTGTAACTGGGTGGTACACAATCACATGAACACATAAGATAATGGAAACTTGACACCAGCCAGGCGAGAGCCTCTCAGTCCAGAATGTCTGATATGAATGACTCCAAGTGTGTGTGGACATGTGCGGGCAACTGTAACTGTGCTTGTGAGTGTGTATGGCATTATGCTTTATCATATGAGAGGATTTTTACTAAGTACATGAGTGTGTGGAGGCATGTATGTGTGAAGGTGTGTGCCTATGTGACAAAGTGCTCATGATAAATGTTAGGTGTAAATGTGGCAGGTATAGAAATGGGTGAATGAATGTAAGAGAGTATATGAGTAACATGGCCATGTGAGTATGTGCTTGTACAAATGTGCATAGGTGGGCATGTGCAGGTGTAGTGTGTATGAGAATGTTTACTCTCATTGCATGGGTGTGTGAAATGTGTGCACTTTGAGTAGTCTTTTCATCACTGTGACAAAACCTAACAGAAGAATTGAAAGAACTTATTTTGGTTCATAGTTTCAGATACCTTGGCTCCATTGTTTCTGGGCCTGTGTTGAGGAAGATTATGATGGCAAAAGCCCCCTGCCAGACCTGAACTCCACTTCCACAGATTCCAATAGCTGGTTTATGTGACCACACGAACACATGGTTCACAACCTCCATGTGTTGGCTCAGCTGTGAGCCTGCAGGGCCTATGGTAAAACAGAGCTGCTTACCTCATGACAGCCAGGAAGCAGAATGAAAGACAGGAGGAGGCCAGAGACAAGGGACCCTTCAAAGGCATACCCTCAGTAACCTACTTCCTCTAGCTAGTCCCCATGCCCTAAAGTTTCCATCACCTCCTAAAATAGTACCCCCTGGAAACTAAACCTTCAGCTGGAACCTATGGGGGACATCCCACATTCAAACCAGAACACTGTGCTGTACTTTGGTGTCTTAGCATGTATGTCTTTATGTATGTGAAATTATGTATGTTGGCTTGTCTCTGAGTATGTCTGTACATACAGGATGTGTGCTTCGTGCCTATGTACACATTTATAGATACACATGTGGTGGTGATCTGTGGAACACATGCATTGTTGGGTGAGTGCACATGCCCATGTGTTTGAGCATGTGTGAATTTGGGTACTGACTATCACAATCAAAGCTAAGCTCTTGAGGGTTCATGCTGCCCAACATGGGAGAGGCCTGGGCAGTAAAGCTAGGCAGAAGGAAGCACCGTGATTGTGTTCCCCATGGGAACTGTCTTCTACTAGAGAATGGGTAGCTGCATAACTGCATCATATTTATGCAGTTCTGACACAGAATCATGCCACGGTCAGCTCTGCTGGTAGCCCCCTGCTAGATCTGAACTCCACTTCCACAGATCCCAATAACTGGCTAAAGTGTTCACAACCTCCATGTGTTGACTGAGCTGGGGCCTGCAGGGCCTGGAGTATCTCAGAGCAGGTGACCAGCTGGACACATACAGGAGGTTTCCAACTAGTTCCGTAGTTCCCTAGAGAGGGGTCCTACCCACAAGTTGTGTGAGGGACATGCTTTCACCAAAGACTCCATGGCTGTAACATCCAAGGAACAATAGAGTGACTCTGTCTAAAAAGAGTCTGGCCTAAAACCCTTTTCCTGGCCCATAAAATGAAATACTGTCATGAGTTATCTGTTTCCCTAGATCATTATTCTCAGCATGAACTGCTGAGTCCTGCCTGGAGCAGCCCCTCTGTGGGCTCACACCAAGGCCTGTCTTGGCAGGAAAATGTGTCCCTGGCTGACATCCTCTCCCTGCGGGACAGTGGCCTCAGTGAGCAGGAGGCCTGGGCTGTGTGCCTGGAATGCAGCCTGTCCATGCGGAGTGTCGCCCACGCAGCCATCTTCCAGACCCTGTGCATCACGCCGGACACCCTGGCCTTCAACACCAGCGGGAATGTGTGCTTCATGGAGCAGCTCAGTGGTGAGGAAAAACGGCAGCAAAGGTGGGTGGGTTCTTAGTGCAGCACAGGGGAAGTGCCTATCAGGGTGAACGTGAGCAACAAGCAGCAGCGGTTGCAAAGGAGTACACAGGCCTGGGTTTCATTTGGAGCCGGATGGGATCCTCAGCCAGAAGCACCACAGAAGAAGAAAGGCAGGCTGGACCCTGAGCTCAGGTGGCCCCTGTAAGCTTCACCACCTAGGACTGCCATATACCCTCAGAGGGCCGGAAAGGTGCTCAGCCAATGCTGATTCACCCACCTGGGTTCCATCCAGGCCTTTCTCATGAGAGAAGGCTTGCGTCCTGTCTCCCCTGGGCTAGTCCTCCTGGCTTGCAGGGAGTGGATATAGGGGATTTGAAGGTGAGACTTCTCTGGTCAGGTAGGAGGCTGGCCACTCCTGGGGCTGCCTTTTCCAATGCAAGCTTGGTTTTCCCAGTTATGGACCCAGTGTTCCTTCTTCAAAAGTTTAAACAAATATCTTTCTTCCTTCAACTCTGGAATCAGTTTCCTATGCTTATGGTTCAGGTGCAGGGTATGATTGTCCCAGACAATCCTCATAGACATCAGACCTGAGCAGAAGGACAGAGGAGCTGCATCTCCTCCTTGCCCTCCCAGCAGGCTCCCAGGATTTGAGTTCCAGTAGGTAGGATTCTGTCTTCACCAGTGGGCAAGATCAGAACACCTTCTCTTTTCTTTTCCAAGATGACCCTGAGGGCTCCTTTGTGCCCCCTGAGTTCGACCTGACAGGGAACACCTTTGAGGTAAGTGCTGGCAGGTAGATGACTCTCCAAGGCCCTCCTTCCCTATCTGCATCTTTGGGGTTTCCTTTGTTCCTGCAGTCTTACGGTCTCAGTATACCAGGTCGTCCTCAGTGTGGGCTATCTTTAGGTCCCCCTTTTTCCTAAGTGATCACCGGACGACAGCTGGATTTTGGGAGCAGCAGCCTTGGATTTGTTAGTCATGATTGTCAGTTAGTTTGCTAATTGCAGTGTCACATCATTTGGCTGCTCAACTTCACTACTGACTTGTGGGAGAAGGGTCAGTGGCTATTCCTGTCCATTGCCATTAGAAGTGTCTCTGATGTCTCCAATGACAATGCTGAGGAAAAAGAGTTCCTTGGTTTTGTTTGATTTAAGGGTCTGGCTGTGTTGCCCAGGCTAGTCCCTAACTCCTAGATTCAAATGAGCCTCCTGCCTCAGCCTCCCTATAGGGGCTACAGGTATGTGCCACCACACCTGCCACGTTTCCCAGCCAGAAATACAGTTACAGTGACTAGTGCTCCTTCCATTGTTAACATGTCTGCATCCTCAGAAGATCTTCCTGACTGAAATCAGACAAGTGTTCACCGACATTCTCTACCAAGTACTTCAAAATTTTATTCTTCACACTGAGTCCATTCAAAGCTGGTTTCCCTGGCTTCACTAAAGTGTGACTGACGAACAAAACTTGTATGTTTTTAGTGTACAAGGTGCTGTTCCAACATACATGCATGCTGTAAATGACAAATGGGGCTAATTAACATAGCAGTCGATTTTTTTCACCAAGTGTGAGATGGAATCACTTCATCTGTTTCTATCGATGGCCATTTTCCCAGATCTGTTTATTGGCAGGCTGCCTTGTACATGCAGCTGCCATCCACCAGGATCCAGAGAAAGACAGTCTGCTTCTGGATCTCTATTCTGCTCTGTTCCACTCTCACTCATCTATCCCTGAACTCCAACTCTGTTCTTTTACCTACCTGCTTCCTGGCAAGCCCTGTGGCCTCATAGGGAGCATGCCTGCAGAAGCATTCTAACTTGCCAGCCTTGGCCCTGTAGCCCCAAGAAAAATCTGGTTTTCAAGCTCAATCAAAACACTGTCAGCATGGTGACTGGAGTAACATACATTGTGGATCGGTCTGGGTAGAATTCCTGTTGCTGTGTTCATGTCTCTAAGACATCTTACACTTCTTCACTGTGGTTTTCTTCCTCTTCCTCCTTCTCTTCCTCTTTTTCCTTCTCCTCCTTTCTGAGACAGGCTCTCAAGTTGGCCTCAAACTCACTAAGTAGCCAAAGATGACTTTGAACTTCTGATACTCCTGCCTCTACTTCCCAAGTGCCAGAATTACAGGCATGCACCACTGTGCCTGGTTTATGCAGTGCTGGGAATCTGTTTACACTAGATAAGCACTCTACTAACTATGCTACATCATCAGCCCATCGTGGTCTTTGTTAACATTTCCCAGGAACATTTTCATGCTGTTACTATAAAGGTCTTGAAAGTCTTTTATTAGATTTACTGTCAGGAATTCATTGGGTTCTGAGTCTATCCTAAAACCTATGGTCATGTTTTTAGTTTCAGTTTCTTCTTTGTTATTAGTCTAGAGATGCAATTTACTTTAATGTTCAACCATCTTGCAAAACCTTAATACTATTTCTAATAGTAGAGTTTCAGTTTTTTCCTCTTTAACTGATTAAATCATCAGCAAACCTAACAATGCTGCCTATTGTCTCCTACCTGGGGCAAAGCTTGTTTCCATTCCAGCCCTCTGGGAGTGCAGCAAGGACCAACTAGTCTGGGGTGGAAGTGCAGGGATCACCCATTCTGCCTGGAGGAACTGGTTAACCTGACCTCATGATATGGATGGCATGGGCCTTGGCCACACAAATTCCTATCTGATTCACATTATGAAATATTTCCTTTTATACATTAAATGATGATGTAATTTTTTCTTCATTGAGGTGTTTTGTGGTTTTTTGGGTTTTTTTTTTTCTCCCTGTAGCCCCAGCTGACCTGGAACTCACTATATAGACCAGGCTGGCCTTGAACTCACAGAGATCCACCTGCCTCTGCCTCCTGAATGCTGGGATTAAAGGCGTGTACTACCACGCCCAGCAACATTTTTATTTTTTAAATATTTTATTTATTATTTTTATTTCATGTGTAGGAGTCAGAAGAAGGCATCAGATCCCCTGGAACTGGAGTTATGGACGGTTGTTAGCCACCGTGTGGGTACTGGGAATGGAACCCGGGTCCTCTGCAAGAGCAGCCAGTGCTCTTAACTGCTGAGCCATCTCTCCAGCCCCCACATTTTTATTTTTTCAGTAGTACCTCCCTTTTCTATTCAGGAAAACCTAGGCCGGCCCAGTGTTTTATCTCTTCTAGGCACTGTTGACAAATACTTACTGTGGATCTTCCTGGGTTTTTATTGGCAGCTGGTACTGTTCTACCCTATGAATACTTCTGACCGGTGCTAGTGTCAGGATTGCTCTGGATTTGTCTAATTACTCCTCTCCTTGCCCTATTTATACAAGATTGAGATGATCTGTGCCTTGACAGGCTGGGAAGACTCACTGACAAGGACATCAGCTTTCTTTATGAACGATTTCTAACTACCATCAATTTGTTAATAGTTATAACACTGACCTTTTTATACTACAAAAGCTTCTTTGTAAACTACAGCAAAAGAAAATATGCACAGGGCCGAGCGTGGTAGTGGACGCCTTTAATCCCAGCATTTGGGAGGCAGAGGCAGGCGGTCCAGGACAGCTGGGGCTACAGGGAGACCCTGTCTCAAAATAGACCGGGAAAAAAAAAAAAGAAAATGTGCACAAAAGGGCTGCAGGCAGTGCCCTCTTCGTCTCCGGAACGCCCGCAGGCTGCGGACAATGCCCTCTGCGTCTCCGGGATGCCCGCAGGCTGCCTGCTTCTATTCTCTGGACCATCCTTTGTTTCTTTTTCCATTCTCCCATGAGTCTTAACAGAGGTTAGTTATCTTGTTAGTTCTTTCAGATAGCACTTCGTGGTTCTTGCTGGCCTACCTGTGTGCTCTTTTCTAATGGTTCTTGTTTCTAACTCTATCCTTTCTCTTACTTGATTTGAGTGCATAGCTGTTCCTTTCTTAACTTGAGGGAGAGACTCACCCATCTTCATCCTCTCAGTGTCAGTATTTCAGGCTGTGAATCACCTTCAGCATGTAAGATCTGCTATGTCATGTTTACTTCCAGTTGTGTTTGTGGTTTGTTTGTTTTTTTTCACTTAGATTTTTTTTTCTTTAGCCTGTGAGTTATTTAGCCATGTGGATGGGTTGAGTTTCCTTGGTTTTATTGACATGTATACAGAAGACAGACATATGTCAAGTACACCCCATGAATTTTCAAAGATTGAGCATCTGCAGTCAGTATCCAGATGAGTCATTGTGACAACAGGGCACCACCACCCCCAGTGTGACTGTCCAACAACACAGAGTGGAGAACAGTTTCACCTGTTCTCATGCTTCCTGTGGCTGGGCTCAGCAGGACTGGCAAAGGCTGGCTCCTCTGCCCCGTGTTGTGTGTGAGGTCTGCCATGGGTGTGTACACTGGAGAGCATTCATTCCCAGTAAGCATTTCTTACTTCTGAACACACTAGGACTTTTTATTGATCTTTATCTTTCTCTTCTGACTTTGTGACTCAGTTGGACTGTGGTTGAAGCGTTGTCTCCACATACCTGCTGTCTACACTATGTGGAGGTTTCCTTTGATCTGAGAATCCTTTTCTGTTGTTGCTCAGGCTCATTCAGCAAACTGTCTGGATCTCCTATAGCATTCATTTTGTTTAATTTTTAATTTTTTTGCCCACTTACCCTAGTAACCATCAAAATGTGTTGAAATGCCTAAAATGCTCCACTGCCAGGTGGATAGGGCTCTTCCTCTAATAGGATGCTGCGTCCCCAAGTTTGCAAAGAAAGCTGAAACTGAACCTGGGAGGAGCCCAAAAAGGAGCCATGGGGGAGGGGCTCTCCTGGGGGCTGAGCCTTATGGGAAAAGGTTTCCTGTGGGTTGGTTGCAGAACAGGTGGGTTAGATGCAACTGAAAGGTCAGCCAGGGTGGAAACAGGGTAAGGCAGGAAGGACTGACTACTCTGTGGGTAGAACACAGGAAACTCATTGATAGTTCAGGGAACTGAAGAAGACTTGCAGCCCCTCCCTGTCACAGTCCACCAGCCTATTTCCCCAGCCTCTACACTCCTCCCCTCTTCAACAAGCACAGACCCTTCTCTTGCCCTCATCATTGTTCAAATTTTCTACAGTACCAGCCAGGATAACTCAGGCCTGTCACCTGTCGTTTGCTTCTTGTTGTCCCATCAGTCCCCAGCTAGCACTCAGCAAGTGTCAGGACCACAGAGCAGATGAGATCCTACTGTGTGGAGATCACAGTCCACATATAGGACCACGATGGTGGGAGACTGTGAGTCAAGGACTTCAGAGCAGGGCTGAGATTGAACAAAGGTCCTGGTTTCCATCATAAGGATGAGGCCTCTGTGAGAGGTGGAAATGAGGCTGTGGATCATAGGATAGGCTCTTCAATGGGAGCAAGGAGCTGGGGAGGCAGGCAGGGTATCAAGCAAGGATCTTTTGAAGGGTAAGCTCTGGGCAGGAGAGAACAGGGTTGCAGTTCCCTCTCTTTGCCCATATTCCCCTTGCAGGATGTAGAATGGAGGATCAGGGTGAGAGAGGAAGTGTTGACCTGTGACATAGCAGAGTAGAGCCCTGAGCAGAGTGCCCCCGGCATGGGCAGAATCAAGAGCACGTGCACCTAGGACCAAAGACTTCCAGGATCACCTGAAAATAACATGCAGCCCAAAGTAAATAGTTTCCTTTGTGTCAGTGATTTCCAGTTAGAAACATGACTTAAGTATGCTGTTTATATAATAGCAACAAAACACAGGACTATCAACAATAAATAGGATTTCAAAACAAAACAAAACAAAACAGGGAAATCAAGTAAGTCAGCACAGTGAACATATTTTGAGACATCACATTGTACTTCTTAAATATGGACAGTTATTTATCAATTAAAAGTAAAACTGTAAAATTTATATATATATCCTGGGAATTGGTGGTACACACCTTTAATCTCAGTACTTGGGAGGCAGAGGCAGGCACATCTCTACAAATAATTCAAGACTGTCCTGGTCTACATAGTAAGTTCCAGGTCAGCCAGGGACTTTAGAGAGAGATCATGAGATCCTATAAAAATAAAAATCCTAACTATGCATGGTCCTTCTCAAAGTAGCATCAGCCCCTCACGCCCAACCCAGTGGAGGCCTTCCACACAGCTAGTGGTTCAATCTCGTGCAGAGCCTATCTTCACTCTTCTATGCAAAGACAGGACAATCCCAACTTCCAAACCAAAAGAAAACCTTTCTTCTACTCAAATCCTGTTTGTGAAGCACACCCAAGGCAAGAGATGTAGCTGAGAACAGGATTTCTGTGTCCAGGACAGCAGACCCAGAGAGCATGCTAGATTCAAGGAATGGCCATGGGGATGGATGGTGAAGGGGCAGGCTTGCTGATATACCCAGTCCTGGGTCTCAGCAGCCAGAGAGCAGTCATGTAGGGCAGGTGCTAATACTCTTTGGTGCTGCAGGCTCACATCTACTCCCTGGGGGCCACACTGAAGGCTGCTCTGGAGTATGTGGCAGAGCCTGAGCTGGAACCCAGGCTGAGCCCAGACCTGGAGGGGCTGCTGAGCCAGATGCAGGCAGAAGACCCCAGAGACAGACCCGACCTGGAGGTAGGCTCCTGACTAGACATGCATGGTGCATGCACACACACACACACACACACACACACACACACACACACACACGAAGTATATTACTTTATTAAGGATTATTTGTTCTATATAC